GCATCATTTCACATGCGATTTCAGTCCATATAATGTGGCCATGCATCCACATTCATAACATTTTCCATGCATTAGAAGGTTTGTGTTTTATGCTTCAAGATTGGACCATTATGCATGCCTCTATGCTTAGACCATTTAGATACCATCTAAGTGGGTTTTTGAGTTTGTTTCAACATGCCATAACTTTGTTTTCCATTGCTCAAATCATGTCGTGTTTGGTTGTGTTAGGCATAGTATAACACATCTTTGATAGCGTTGCATGCCCCATTATTTTGGCCTTGTATTCTAGCTTGGTTTGGCTAGCTTTGAGCTCATTTTTGGTCCTGCTTGGACCTGCCTCGAGACTATTTTAGGTCCCCTTGGCCCTTTAGGGCTTGCTTCACATAGCCATGGCTTGAGCTCCTTGGCTAGTCTTAAGTTTTTGGCTCCTTTGTATGCTTTACTTGCATGGCTTGGTTGATTTGGCATCATCCCTTGCATATTTTCAGAGCTTATCATGCTTGTTATTTGTCCATATTTGTCTCTTTTAAATGTGCTTAAGAGTCGACCTTTTTTGTGCCTAAATGTTGGACCTTTACATGCGCATGTTTGGGTGTGTTTTGTCCATCATTTCTTGGCACTTTGGCCACTGTTTTGGCACGGCTGAGGTCTGCCCCATAATTTCTTGGTACTTTGGCCGCTGTTTTGGTACGGCTGAGGTCCATCCATCTTTAGTGTAAGTCCATGGATCATGCGTTTGTGTATTTGTTATATGCTTATCACATTGCATGTTGTTGCATCCTTATGATTGGTATCATTGTTGCATGCCTATCACTTTGCATATTTGTACGCCTAGGTTGCACCTTGCATGCTTGTTAGTTTGCATCTTGCCACATGTTAACTTAGGTTGCATTGCATTTGGCATGTTTGTTACCTTAACCTCGTGTGCATGTCGAGTCATATTACATTTGGCATGCTTACGTTGCGTTACATTGGTTGCATGTTTTGCATTGTATTTGGCATACATACATTGTATTTTGTTTGGTTTGGGGTGTCAAACCAAACATGAGGGTCGAGGGACGTTTCGTACTTGAAGTGACGAAACGCGTCCCAACCCTTAGTCGCTGACGCTCTTGATCAAGCATGATAGAGTTTTAGGCATTCATGTGTTTTGTTGCATTCATTCCAAATTGATTTGCACTCTTGGCACCTTGGGCCATCATGCATTGAAATGCGTGATTGATGGCCCGAGAGTCGAGAGCCATACTCCCTCGAGTTCATAGCATGATAGGGAGGGTGGTCGTGCACACATTGTCTTGTAAATTCCTTGCCATGCACTGTCTGTCCTCTGCTGCAGCAAAACAGAATTCTATAGGAAGATATGGCCGGTCGGCCATTTTCAGTGCCGGCCGGCTAACTTAACCTGGCCGAGAGCTCCACTTTTGGTCGATAACCATTTTCCCATGGCCGGTGACTTCATCTCTTGGCCGGTGACCTCCCACAGTACTCAGGGAGTGGTTCAGAAACATCCTTGGGACTTGTATAGTTTTCAGAGGAGCAAAACAGTGCAAACAGAGGCAACATGTGGCATGGCAACGGGTTTCCGAGCGAGGCGATTGAGCATGCATCATTCAATCATTCTGAGGTGGAGCTGCGGCGACCTCCCTTTTGTAATTAATTTGTTAATTAATTAAGGGTTTGTAATAATTAATTAGCTAGGATAGTTGATTAATCATTTAGTTTGTATTATTTATTCAGACCCTCCGTCGAGAGGGCGAAATTGTAATAAGCGTGCGTGTGTGTGTGAATGTCTTCCAACGCAACGTCTTTCTCCCTTTTACTTACCTGCTTTTGATGGTTAGTTTTAGGTCATGTTTCAATTAGCATACTTATGTTAGCATGTTTGCATACATTCATTTGTATTGCACGCACCGGGCTCGGCGCATCATACTAACTGCATTGTATTTCAATTACAAGTTGAATACATGTATCAACTATTGCATTTCATATGCCATCTTAGAATAGCTGAGCCTATCTTGGTTGCATTCTTGCATGTGTTGCATTAGCTATCTTAACACGAGCTAGGTTCATGCATTGATTACTAACTAGCTTTTGTTTTGGCTTGGAATACTAGGTAAGCTTTTATGCTTTAGCATCTTGCATGAGTGTGAGTGTTGCCATGATAGCATGCTTGCCATGAGGCTATTTGCTTATGTGATATAACTGCCTGAATGCCTGTGGGTGAAGGTTGGATTATTCGAATTAGAACAATTCATCGAAATGTGTGTTTTAAGCCCACTTTACGGACTGGCAAAATCATGTTTTCTAAGACCACTCGAGGATGGCAAATCCACGTCTTAGCCTACTTGCGAGTAGCACTATCAAACCATTTTCAAATAAACAAACATGAAATGTTTTGTTCCAACTTAGGCGATCTAGTCTATACTTGTGTGTTGTGCGCATCACATAGTAAATTCTAGCTAATAACCGGAATAAGAACACATATGTCTTCAAAAACAAGATATCATGTTTCGTAGTGGCCGATCTTCGATCGGGCGAGCGAGGGTGCTCATAGATGACATTCCCCAATCATACCCAAGTTCCCGAGCTGAGGCAACTTTGGTGATGACAGACACGTGGCCTTAGGCAACGAGTCAGGGTTTCCTAAATTCCCCCTAAATAAAATATTTAGGTGGCGACTTTATATCTGGCAAAGCAGTCCATGTTTGACACTTTTTTTCTTAAAAATCAGTTTTCCAAAACGATTTTCCGGATTTGGACTCTTTGGTGATTTATCGGTCTCGCATTGCACTTTGCATGATTAGATTCAGAACTGTGACATTTGAGTCTAAACTGTAGTAGCAAAGCCCAAGGGTGCGTCTACACATATACATGCAAATATGAAATCAATTCAACATTAAATAAATAAAGATAACTAAATAAAAACAACGAATTAAATATAAATCAAGGGAAGTGAGTTTTGTACTCACAATATTTTTTTGAAGATCAAAGAATTATTTCAAAAATTAATGAAGCTACCAAAACAAAATCCTAATATTTTTTTTTTCTTCCTGCTCATTTTTCTCTCCTTGCCACCGTCTCTGTGGCTGCCACAAACCCTCGTTTTTTTTTTCTTTGTTTAATTCTCTCTCTCTCGGCTTTTCTCCCCCTTTCTTTTCTATTCTTTTGATTACATAATCCCTATTCTAATCTACTTTGACTATTATATAATATTATATTATATAATACTACATAATTATAATATATATAAATATAAATATAAAATTAAATATATATAACACCTCTTTTTTTTATATAACAAATATAAATATATAAATATATGGATTAATTAAATAACACATTAAATTCTCATGTGACCACACAATTAATAAAGTCAAAAATAAAATAAGATAATAATAATCAAAATAATAATAAATCATAACTTAAGAAAATTAGGGTCGCTACATGACAATGGTGGTGAATATCTTTCTCTTAAATTTCAACATTTCCTCACTTTCAAAGGCATCTAGCATCAATTAACCTGTCCACATACTCCTGTTCAGAATGGGGTGGCTGAGCGAAAACATCGACACATTATTGAAACTGCTATTGCTCTTATGCATCACTCTGCTATTCCCATTCATTTTTGGTTCGATGCTATTGCCATTGCTGTCATGTTAATTAATCGTCTTCCCACTGCTAAGCTCAATTTTCTTATACCTTTTGAGGTTCTATATACTCATCCTCCAGATTATTCTATTCTTCGCACCTTTGATTACTGGTGTTATCCTTGGTTACGACCTTATAATTCTCACAAGTTGCAGCCTAGATCTATTCTGTGTGTTTTTTATTGGCTACCATCCTTCTGTTAAATGCTATTGATGTCTAGATCCTCAATCTGGAAAGGTCTATTTGTCCAGGCATGTGGTGTTTGCACATCTACCTTTTTTATCTTCTTCTTCTTCTTCTTTTCTTCGTCTCTGTCTATGCCTCAACTTCAGACATTTTTCTGGTCTTCTGTAGTTTCTCTGTCGGCTTTAGTCGTTCCTGGTACTCATCCCACACCAGTTCCGCCCCCCCTAGTTTAGTCAACATCTGTTCAGGCCACCCCAGTTTCACCCACACCAGTTTAAGCCACAACAGTTCAGGCCCCATCTGCACCACCTGTTGCTCCTAGTTTTGCTAATCAAGTTCTTCCCTTTTCTTCTCCTTCTGTACCTTCAATTCCTATTTCTTCAATTTCTATTCAATTACCTTCTTTGTCCCCAGTTTCTTCCTCTACCTCATTTGAATCATCATCCTATGATCACTAGATCTAAATCTTCCTCTCAGTCTCTGTGTTTTCTTGTTTCTTCTGCTTCTGAACCTACTACTTATGTTGAGGCTTCTCTTTCTTCTGCTTGGTCTCACGCAATGCTTGAGGAATATCAAGCTCTTCAACAACAATGTACTTGGAGTTTAGTTTCTTTTCCTCTTAATAAGCATGCCATCTGTTGCAAATGGGTGTATCGATTGAAAAAGAATTCGGATGGTTCTATTGTTCGCTATAAGGCACATTTAGTTGCCAAGGGTTATCTTCAAGAGGCTGGCTTTGATTAGTAGGAAACTTTCAGTCCATTTACCAAGCAGCCCACAATCCAGGTTTTACTCTTGCTTTTCATTACGGGTGGACTATTAAGAAGTTTGATGTCTCCAATGCTTTTCTCCATGGTATTCTTGATGAGGAAGTGTATATGAAACAACCTCAGGGGTTTATTGATCCCAATAATCCACATTTGGTTTGCAAATTACACAAGGCTCTCTATGGCCTTAAACAGGCTCTCTAGGCCTGGTTTTCTACATTTTCTCCTTTTCTTCTTCACCACGGTTTTAAATCGAGTCACTATGACTCCTCTCTTTTCATTCATCACACCTCCACTTCTCTCACCATTTTATTGATCTATGTTGATGATATCTTGTTGACTGGCAATAATCCCTCTTTTCTCTCTTTCTTGGTTTCCCAAATGCACTCTAAATTCTCCATGAAAGAACTTGGTCTTCTTAATTACTTTCTTGGTATTTTTGTTCACACCTTTTCTTCTGGCTATTTTTTGTCTCAAACTAAATATGCTACTGAACTTCTTGCCAAACCTGGTATGTTATCTTGTAAACCTTATTCTTCTCCCATGGCTCTAAAATCCTCTTCTCACCCAGATTCTGCTGTTCCTTTCTCTAATCCATCCTTTTATAGATCCATTATCGGTGCTCTTCAGTACCTTACTATTACTTGCCTCGACTTATCCTTTGCTGTGAACTTTGCTTGTCAGTTCATGCATCAACCTCTCAATTGCCATTTTGCTGCAGTTAAACATCTTCTTCGGTATCTTAAAGGTACTCTTACTCATGGTCTTCAGTTCTCTTCTGGTCTTCTTCTTCTTAATGCCTACTCTGATTCTGATTGGGCTGGTAATTCTCTTGACCGTCGTTCTACCACTAGCTACTGTGTGTTTTTGGGTTCTGATTTGATTTCTTGGCCTGCTAAGAAATAACCCACTGTTTCTCACTTCTCCACTGAGGTTGAATACCGAGCTTTGGCTCAAACTGCTGTTGAACTAAGTTGGTTGACTATGCTTCTCTCTGATCTACATGTTGTTCTTCTTCTTCCCACTTTATGGTATGACAATCTTTCAGTTATCTCTTTGTCCAGTAACCTTGTCTTCCATGCTCGCTCGAAGCACATTGAAGTGGACTATCATTATGTCTGTGAAAGAGTTGCTACCTAGAAATTGTTCATTCGTTATGTTTCTACTTCTGACCAAGTTGCTGACATTCTTACCAAGCCCTTGTCTGTTAGTCGATTTCAGTTCTTACAACATCAGCTTCTAGTTCGACCTCCTCCCATCAGCTTGGAGGAGGATAATGAGATATGAAAGTCCCAGTCAAAGGCACAGTTAGACTTAGAGGGAAAGCAGTCTAGTCAGCATTTACTTAAACCATAGTTATAATAGAATCTGTTGTTAGTTAGTTAAGAGAGTTAGTTAGAACTATAGTTAAGTTAGCTCGTTACACTTACATGTATAAAAGGTGTATTGATATTCTGTTTATGACAATGAAGATATTTTTGATTCTTTGAAATCACTTTAATTTCAAGGGTAAAGTCATCAATTTGATAAAATATAAACTAATTTGACAAAAATAAATGTCAAAAAGATATTTTTGAACTTTTAAAAAATTATTCCTACCCACCAAAGATAAAATTATGTAAAATTGATTAATCTTTTACACATTTATTTATTTATTTATTTTACTAAATTAATTTTTATTATGTGTTTGGATGATGATTATGTAATGGGTGGTTGTTAAACTTTTAATGTGTAATCAATATATTTAATATATGAAATATTTTTATTTTTGAACTTTTTGATTAAATGGATTGGTTTGATAATGATATCAAAGTTGTCGCCAAATTAGACTTTTGGAAAAATAAAAATTAGTTTAATGAAAATAAAAATAATCACTCATTACATGGTCATCATCCAAACACATTATAAAAATTAATTTGGTAAAATAAAAAAAAAATAAATGTGTAAAAGATTTATCAATTTTACATAATTTTATCTTGGTGGGTAGAAATAATTTTTAAAAATTTAAAAATATTTTTTGACATTTATTTTTGTCAAATTAGTTTATATTTTATCAAATTGACGACTTTGGCCTTAAAATTGAGCAATGGTATCTTCAATTGTCTTTATTTGAAATAAGATTAAAAAATTAGAATCAAATGTGTCACAATTGAAAAATCAGGGACCAAAGTTACACAAGTCTTAAACTATAGGGGCGGTTAGTATAATTCTAAACTAATAAATGTTAGTATACAATTTGTTAAACCATTATTTTAAGCTATGCTCAAACAGCACTGTAGACACCTCATTTTTGACGGCCCTTATGACTTGAACGTCCTCGCATGCACACTCGATGATGAGTCTATATGCTCGTCAAGTGCTCGAAGTCCTTAGCGGAATGCCACAGCTTTGAGCCTTTCAAACCCTACACCTTTGTTGCTTCATTCTTGGACCATGCTTTGGTTTTTCAAGCTTGCAGCTTCTGGTGGCCATGGCTACCGGCCATCACTTTTTGGATGCCAGCCACTGATGTGGCTTGCCGGCCACCAGTTTCTTTTGCAGATATTTTGTGACAGCTGTGCCAGCTGTTTGCACAGATGCATGCATCTGCCCTCACATGTAAGGCTGAATTTTCTTGAGGAGAATTCATGTTTTCTATATATAGAGAGCCTCCCATTTGGCCATGGGGTTAGAAAAATTTTGGAGCAAAAATTTTCCCCTCTTTCTCTCTCTACAATCCTTTCTCTCTAGTAAATTTCTACACTTTTGCCTACAAATCCTTAACCTTTGCCTATACACCCTTAACCAAACCTCTTCATCTTTGAGATGAGGTATTCTTGAGCCTTGTTGGAGCTCTAGAGGGTGTGTTTGCATGGTTTTGTTGCTTGGAATTGGTTTTCTTTTTCAAAGGTATAAGGCTTTGCCTTTTTACTTGTTTTGACTATTATTTTGCTTGATGTTTTCCAACTGATTTTGGGCTGTAAAACTTCTGTCTTTTTGGGTTGAAACTTGGGTTTTAAGGCCATTAAAGGTTGAGGGGTTGATAGCCCTTCTTTGTACCTTATTTTGGAGGCCTTTGCCCTTGTGTTTCCCATCCTTGTACTATCTTTTTCTAAGCTTTTAAACATTGATTTTTAGAGCTTTTTCAGCGGTCAAAATCATGTTTTGAAGTCCAAATTTAGAGGGTTAGCCTCCCTTCTTTGTGTCTTGTTTACTAGCCTAGCTTGTGCTATGTTTTAGCATATTAATCTAGCTTTTTTTAGCTTAATTCCAGCATGCTTTATGACTTGTTTTAGACTATTTTAGCACTATTTTTGGTTGATAGTTTCATTTGAGCTTTGTTTTGCATGCTTGTAGTGTAATAGTCCCCATGAGTTTGGTGTTCTAGGCCTTAGACACCATTTCCTTTGAGTTGATTACATTTATTTATGACTTTCTATACTTGTGATCACACTCAATCATCTCTGCAACCTCCTTCTTTTCTTGACTTTTGTTTTGCTTGGAAAGTGGTTCAAACAACTTGTTTGTTTAAGCATGAGATTGAGGTGTCATACTTAATGGTTTAATCCCTTAGGGGGTTCATTACCAACGGTATGATGTCTCTTTTATGCCTAAAACAACTCTTTGTTTGAGCCCTCTTTCCATTAGAGGACTTAATTCACCATTGGACTCAATTGAATTAAAGAATGGTTGGTAATCTAAAATGAAGTAATTAAAATTGAGGCTAAAATGGTGCAAGATAATAATTTGGGTGTGTTCAATTGGACGTTAATTGAACACATGAAACATGGACCATTTCATACTTATTAGTGATGAAATGATCCAAGTTTCCAAGGTCACTACTTCCCTTAATCTTCCCTGATAGGGAGGTGGTTTTGAGAGTCTCATTTCTTTGCATTTATTGAACTTTCACACTTTCGTTCACAAGACATCATGCAATGAAATTGCTTGAGTTGGTGGTTTGTGGCTTAAGTTCACTACTCTTTTGATTTATTCATGAAAATGAGGGGTGAGTTGTGCAAACAAACTCTTGAAAATACCCTGTGTATGCTCTGTTTGTTCTTTGTTGCAGTAAGGATAACTAGGTAGCAGTGGCCGGCAAGCCACTTTCCATGGCTGGCCGGCTATCATTGGTGGTCGGCAGGCCTCATCACTGGCCGGCTGGCCACTGATGCAAAATTCAGCAGTGTGTTCTTTAGGCAAAGCAGAGTTATTCTAGAAGTGGGCAATAGTGTTAGTGTTCTATTGTGCAACAGAGGCTCTCTGGAAGCAAAATAGTGGCTTTTTAGGTGGAAACCAATGCATGAGCATTCTTCGCGTATTGAGCTTGTTTAGTTTAAATTGTTGTAATTAATTAGTTGTAGCTAGTTAATTTTGTAAAGTGTTGTAATTAATTAGTTAGTTAACTAGTTATTCAATTTCGTTTTGTAATTAGTTAGTTAACCAGAATAGTTAATTCAATTCATTTGTTGTAATAATTAGTTAAGTAGTTTAGCTATTTATCCATTTGTTTTGTAATAATTAGCTTAGCTTTAGCTAGTTAGTTAGTTAGTTTATTCGGACTCTCCTTCGTGAGAGCGCAATGTAACAATGTGTATGTCTTTCAACCCCACGTATTTCTCCTTTTTATTTACTAGCTTACGATGGTTAGTTTAGGGGCATCATGTTTTGTTTGGCATACTTCATGTTTGCATCCACTTGTATTGCATGCACCGAGGCTCAGTTCATCATTCTAACTGCATTGTTAGTTTAGTACTTCTTTGAATACGTGCTTAGACTGCATGCTGTCAAAGTGATTCATATGCCATGTTTAGTAGCCGAGCCTATTTAGATTGCATATTGCATGTATTGTATTAGACGTATTGCATAGTTAGAAATCATGTATTTTTTTTAACTCTTTTGTTTATTTAGAGTTAGAGTACTAGGTGAGCCTTTACTTGCTTTAGCATAATTGCATGTGTGCAATTGTTGTCATGTTTAGCATGTTGGCCATGAGGCTAATTGCTTAAATGCTATAACTGCTTGAATGCCTGTGGATCAAAGCTTGTTGCTTGAATTGGAATAATTTGTGTGATGTTCATATGCGATCACTTTTTCAAGTGGTAAACAATTTTCAAAAACAAACATGACTCAAAATGTTCCAATTCTTGCAAAGTTAGTTTATACTTGTGTGTGCGCATCACATAGTAATGCTAGCCTAATAAACCAGAACAAGAGCATATAATGTAAATAAGATTCATATCATGATTAGCAGAGGCCGATCTTTGATCAGGCGAGCGGGGGTGCTCAAACTCATTCATGACCTTCCCCTCTCGTACCTAAATTTCCGAGATGAGACAATCTTGCCTTAATCCCTACACCCGAAGACCTATGTGAGTGGTATTTTTAATAAAGCTATGTTCTAATGTTTTGATAAAAGCTTTGCTTGTTTCGTTTTGGAAAAGTATTTGTTCAAGTATGAATGATTATTCCTAGTTTTGTATTAAAGTATTATCTTGTTTTGATGACATTCTTGGAAAGTCCTTAGTGCTAGGGGACTATAATGCAACTAGTACCCTTGTTTGAGATATCTCTCTTGCCACCGACGGTCTTGTACGAATGAGTTTGTCTAATCGATTCCGGGTCGATTATTCCCTTGTTCAGTCAGGAATGTCATCCCTTGTATTATATTGATGCTATTAAGCATCCCTTGAAGCTTTGAAAGTCTTGATAGATGAACTTGGTTCATCCCTTGATTTGTACAAGATATGCTATGTATTGTTTTGACAAAGATCTCGAATATCATTCATTTAAACCTTTATTACTAATATCATTCACTGAGTATCTAAGCTCACCCTCTCTTTATATATATGTAGGTGACGAGCAAGAAGACGGTGACTCCTAGATGTCATTTGCAAGTTGTTTTGGATTCGTGTTTTGCTAAGCAT